GAAATCCTGTCGAGAACGAGGTTAGGCGTAACCAGTCGTAATCGTTACACAAGTACAAGCGATCGCAACGCAGGTACAGGAGGGATGTACAAGCGGTCGGAGCAGCACAAGAGACCATCGGTTAGAGAGAAGTGGGCGTAGGCAGTATTGGCCAGTGTTAAACGGCCGATGACCATCCGGGCGTAGGGGTCGGTTGAGTTGGCAGCGCGTACAGCTGCCAGCAAGTCGGGATCAGGTCCAACGCTTGACACTGCGGCAAGCGTAGGTTGGTCAAGAGGTGGTAGCGGTTTGTGGTCAGGTCTGCGAGAGAGTGCGTCAGGAACAGTGTTAAGTCGTCCCTCACGGTAGGTGAGGGTAAGGTTGAATTGGTTGAGTTGTTCCTCCCACCGGTGGTGGCGGGACTTCATGAACTCCAGTCTGAGGGGAAAAATGAGTGGGCGGTGGTCAGTACGGACGGTGACCGGTTGACCCAGCAAATAGTAACGCCACTTGTACGTGGCGTGTACTACTGCGAGCTGTTCGCGATCGCGTGCGGAGTAATTGCGCTCCGCCCGGTTGAGCCGCTTGCTCTCGAACGCGACCGGTAGGAGGTCGCGGTTTTTACCGGTAGTCTGCAAATGGACCGCTCCAACGGCGAAATCAGAAGCGTCCAAATCAACCGTACCTGGGGTAAAGCGGGGTCGAAGGGCCGTAGGATGGGTGCATGAGTGAGTGCAAATTTGAGGGACTGGAATGCGTGCTCGCATTTATCAGTCCACTCGAATTTGCACCCCTTTTGCAAAAGGTCTGTGAGTGGCGTGGCAAGGTGCGCAAATCTACGAATAAATCGGCGATAAAACCCAGCAAGGCCAAGAAACGAGCGGATATCACCAGGATCAGATGGTCGAGGCCATTGGGATATGGCTTCGACCTTGCAAGACTCCATAGAAACGCCGCGGCTCATTGATGAAGTGGCCGAGGAACGTTACCTCGGTTCGCCACAATTCACACTTCGATTCCTTGGCGTAGAGGTTGTTGGCACGAAGGCGTGTGAATACCTCCCGTAGAAGCCGTTCGTGCTCATCTGCGGAGTTGGAATATATGAGTATATCGTCCAGGAAAATGACCACGCCCTTATCCAGCAGATCCGCGAAGATTTTGTGCATTAGGTCCATGAAAGCTGCCGGGGCGTTAGTCAAACCAAAGGGGAGTACGAGCCATTCGAAGTGGCCGTACCGGGTGCGGAAAGCAGTTTTTGTGACATCCTCTGCACTGATCGGAATTTGCCAATATCCAGAGCGCAAGTCGATTTTAGAGAAGATTTTTGCGCCATGCAGTTGGTCAATAAGATCGTCAGCACGGGGCAGAGGATACGCGTTTTTGACCGTCTGCTTGTTGAGCCCCCGGTAGTCAATACAGAAGCGGAGGCCCCCGTCCTTCTTTGGGGCGAAGAGAACCGGGGCGCCCCACGGGGACGAGCTGGGGCGAATGAACCCCTTGGCAAGCAAGTCGTCGAGGGTGCGACGAAGCTCATCCAGCTCGGTTGGGGACAGCCGGTAGATGGAGCGATTAACCGGGGTGGTGCCCGGCAGGGTTTCGATGTGGAAGGGCATGCCCCGGTCGGGTGGAAGATGTGCCGGGAGGTCCTGAGGGAAAACATCAGCGAATTCAGTTCGTAATTTCTCACAGCGTTCAGACTCAGCCGCCAGGTTATTGGCCATGTCAGGGGTAACGTTAGGGAAGACCTGGAATACCGGCTGCTTTTTCTTCAAAATTTTCTTCATTTGTACCGAGTTGAGCAGCTGGTCGCCATACTCCTGCTTTAAAGCCCGTTTTGACGGCCTTCCGGCCTCCAGCGTTACAGGGCAAGCATTGTGGACAAAGGAGATATGGCGCTTTTTCCAGTCGACCTTCTTATTCCCCGACTCAAGCCAAGGCAGTCCCAAAATGACGTCGTATGTGATGTCTGCGACTGTGAAATGCAAATCCTCCGAGTACTCGGAACCAACAGAAAATGATACAGCATTGACAGTACGCTGTACCGGTCGGTAGGAACCGTCGGCCAAACGCACGCCGGCACCGTCAGACACGTCAGCGGTTTCAATCCCTACACGAGCGGCGAATGACGCAGACATGCAATTATCAGAAGACCCGCAATCCAGCAACACCCTGCATGGCTGACCGGAAACACTGCCACGCAGGTAAATCAAGCGCGAAGATTTCGGGGCACCATTTAGTCACCCGGTTTAGCACGACCCCTGGGAGAAGAAGACTTATCTTCTTCGGGCTCGCCGCAAGTAGATGTCCCAGGGCCGTCTACTGGGGCAGAGAGTTTTCCGAGCACCTAGGCTCTTCGAGCCCGAAGTCGATGAGGTTGGGGTGCTCGGTGGGATCAGCTGGTCGCTCGCCTTGGGCGACAGTTCTCTGCACAGGGGGTTTATTGGGGCACTCGGCGATCAAGTGCCCCGGTTGCCTGCAGTAGAAGCATCCACCAACCTTGACCAAGCGCGCTCGCTCAGATTGGGTTAGTGGCGCCCTGGGTTTGCGTCGGAGCGCGTCGATCTCCATAGAGACAGGGCCCGTGCTACCAGGGTTAGCTGACCTGGTGGGCGCGGGGTTAGAGAAGCTGAGAGGGGTTTGGACCCTGGAAGTCCGCACCCCATTAGCTGCAAATGTAGGTCGTGCAAAACCAGACTGTAACCCAGCAGAGCCCCACAATGAGTCATAGCGGTCAGCAAGCTTAACCGCTTCCTCGAAGGTTTCGGGCTCACGCATGATAACTTCCTGGCGTGTGCGGGGTTTGAGGCCGCGGATGAACCGGTCCAGGAGCTCCTCGTCCTGGATACCGGGTACCTGCAGGGATGACTCTTGCATGGTTTGAGCATACGTCCTGACACTGCCGTCCTGCCTAAGACCCGCAAGCTTATCTCTGGCATGGCGTGTGGAGTTAACAGCTCGGAACCGGGACAAGAGCTCCCCAGAGAATGCATCCCAGGAGTACAAGGTCTGGTTGCCCCCATGGGCCAGGCCGGTGTACCGCCACCAAGACTTTGCACTCCCGGTTAACAAACCAGCAGCAAGATAAACCTGCTTATCAACAGGTGTGTCCATCCCCTCAAAGTACATCTCATAGTCGAAAATGAAGTTCTCCACTGCACCTGCGGTGGACGAACCATCATAGACCTCTGAAAACCTCAATCTGAGATTTTTACCACCAGGTATACCAGCACCAGGTACCCCTGCCGCTGGTACTTGTGCCTCTGCAGCGGGTTCCATGGGAGGTACCCCTGCACCACCAGCTGCAGCTGCAGTCGCCCTTTGCTCCTCCAGCTGGGCCTGCATATGCTGCATCTGGCCTGCCATTTCGGCGACCACCTCTGTGAGCTGGCCGATAGCTGCTTGAAGAGCAGCTCCACCTTGAGCTCCGGGGTCGACGTCCACCATGGCATTGGAAGAGGAGAGTTCACAGAGAAGGCAGAATTGGAGGGAAGAGCAGAGAGGAAGGTAGGTGAGCTGAGGGAAAGAGAGAGAAGGAAACTAAACCCCTGATACCAATGTAATCTCAGGCTAATTTCACAAGGAAATTGGAGACTTATACACTAGTAGGGAGCTTAGCGGGAAGAGCGGAGCTCGGGAGTTGAGAAACTTGCTAGAGATTGGATGCCTCAAACTTGGAAACCAGGAATGAGGACTTACACGGTGGAGAAGTCCACCTTTATAGGTGAGCCGTAGCTCCAGTCACAAGGTGCAAGAGAACATAACAAAGCAGTGCTCGCAAGAAAGCAGCAACCCTAACGGACAAATGCAAGCAAGTAGCCGTTAGGCTATGGCGACAGGTACGCATCGAACGGTGCAGATATGCCACGTCAACCGTATAGGTGTCGTGGCGCCAGAATATGCAATAACAATGATGCACGTGCTACATACTTCTTACAGGACTGAAATGCAGACTAGGACTGAAATGCAGACTGGAGTCCGCAAGAACCTGACGGAATTCTGCGTAGTGTCGGCAGCAAGTCGGCAGTCTACGGTGCGACGAAATTTCTTACTAGAGTGGAATTTCGCGCGACCGCGGGGACCGCGTCCGGGTCAATTTTGAAGGTCCGAGTCGTGCTCCGACTTTTATGGTAGGGTCCCCGGTCTACCTCTGTTCGAACCCTGGAATTGGATTCTACAATCTGCTATGTTTTATCCGTCCGATGAAATTTCTCATTCTTGGGTGCAGTCAAACAGCGGTTACCGAGGTGTTTGGTCAGGTCTCGAGACTCAGAATGTACAGCTCACCCTTTAATAACCACCGTAGGTAGGTAGTTGCCGGCGTTGGTACTGTACCAACAGTAACCGTAGGTACTTCAAGATTCTTGTAGTACGGTACCAGTTGAAGCTCGTAGGTAGTAGGTAGCTAGGCACCGTACACTTTCTGTTGAATCTGATGTCAGGCAGCAATGATCGCGATCCGTCACAGTCTGTCGGTCCTTCGAAGTTCGAAGTTCTAGGCTCAGGGCTGTCGTTTCTTTGTCAGATGTAGGGTGCCAGATGGTAAACTGGCCACCGGGGATTAGGTAGCCCCCGATTGTCTAATTGATGTTTTGAAATGGCTCGCCGCAACCCGCACAGGACTCCGAGGCAGGACTTAGGAGACAGTAAGAATGTGATCGGGACACCAGTCAGACGACGTCCCGGGGCCGATTGAGTTCCTCGCCGGTTCTACACGATCAGAATCCAGATACCGCATGTACGGTATCCTGAGTAGGTAGACTCCTGACTCCTGACACTGACAGTACTGACTTTTGGTCAGAAGTCAGGACTTCCAAGTTCCGACTCAGACAAAAGATAAGAAAAATCAGAAAATAGGTACACTAGGTACTAGGTACTAGGAAGGTACACTCAAGACTACCGTACCGATTGTCCGGTTGGGCAAAAATATATTTTTTCGACTTGCCCAAAAATCTGAATGTAAAATAAATTTCGAATTTCAAATCTGCAAGTCATTTTGCCTGGTACGAAAACGAAATAAATTAGTAAAATGAAGCTGCCCAACCGGACAATCGGTACGGGTACCTCTACATGACCCTAATACCGTAGGTGCCGTAGGTGTGTAGGACTACCTAGTACCGGTATTGAGTATTCTCTGCAGAGTGCTGATCAAAGCTCAGCCTCAACTTCAAGCCTGCCTCACACAATCATTTTGCCCGGCTGCCGGATCTTGCATCTGACAAGCTGACGTAGGGATCCAGGTGAGCTTTCTGTTCAGAAGAGGCTTGCATCTGATCATTGATGCGCCGCAGCCTGGAGACTTTATCCTTTTAATTGTGCATCATTCCATGGCAGCTGTATAGGACCTAAGTACTTCGAAGTCTGATACTGTAGTCAGACAGGTTGGTATATGAGATTCTGAGATCTGTGAACTTCCTAGATCGTTATCCTGTCGTCAGGCCGGCGCCCTGGTTCGCCTCTTTGGCTTACGAAATAACGAAGGATTTTCAAGTAGGACTAGGTAGGATAGCTAAGTTGAGAGCGCTCCCAAGAAGCCGGCCGACGGTCAGGCTGACTATGGTCACTACCCGCATTGCGATGCCCTCTGACGCAATTGCTGATTCTAGGCTGTCGTAGCAAGGATCAACGGCATTTCGTGTATCTGACAACGAGGCATTGCAATGCTTTGTCGGACTGATCCATCAGCAATCTTTCAGACAGAACGTGTCCCACGCTTGTCAAGCCGCAATGATCGAGTGCCAAGGACAGCACTTGTACTGCTCTCGGCCAGTTTTGGCAAAGCCGGAGTAGCCCAGCTCTCCCCCAGCATGAGACGGTTGGCAGCCACTAGTGGCACAATTGGCAGCGAAGAATGGTAGGCCCTCCGGCAGAGGTTGCAAGTAGAGAGATCGCAAGCACAACGAGCGTGTGGCAGGGGGCCAAGAGCAGCCCGTAACACTGCCCGCAAGCTTGTGCGCAGCCCCTGTGGCGGGCTCAGGCACAGTGTTGCTGCGTGGCAGGGCCGCCGCCTCACGGGGGCCGCTAGGCAGCCAGTGATGACGTCCTTCTCGGCCTGCAATCACGCGCTGCCAGCTAGCTGGGGCGATGCAGCGACGCCCCCGGGCGCAGGTCACTGGGGGTGAGGTCACGCGTGCTGCACCGCACTGTGCTGCACGGGAGCGCCACCTTGCATAGACACCCGCAGGCATGGCTGACGAGGTCCCCAGCACGCCGCCGGGGGGCCCACCCGCAGCGCAGGAGGGGGAAAAGGAAGGGCCGCCTTCGCCAGTGGTGCCGGTGCCGCGCGGCGCTGTCCCGCAACTGCTGGAGCTGCTAGACTCGGTGAGGGGCAGGCAGCAGCAGGGGGCAGGGACAGGCAGGTTCAGATGTGGGGCAGCGCAGGACCACGCCGGCTGGGAGCTGAGGGTCAAGCAGGAACAGCAGGGGCAAAAGACTTAACGGGAGGTAGACTGTGGTGCAGGATGAGGGGTCACATGGTGGAGGCAGGGGCAGGGCAGGGCTGGGGCTACTAGTTACAGCAAGTGTTGTGTGAACTGCAATTGGTCTTTGGCAATCAGGGCACACTGCGTGGCAGATGCGAGCTCGGGACAGCCCAGCTTCCTGTGGTCAATAAACGCACGACGCGTTTCCATGCCCAGTAGAAGGACTAGCTCGCGGGCTTGTCAGCCTGCTGAAGACCCCAGCCTGCTTGGGGAGGGCTCCTTGCATACCTTTGGGTAGATTACCCTCATGTTGCGTAGTCAGAACCCAGGATCAGGAAAGCTGGACTGCTGAGCTTCCGAGACCGCCTTCTCCTCCAATCCTCAGCTGCATCGAGAACTGTCCCAAAAGCTCATGCCTACCTTGTTCTGCGCAGGAGCGCTCGCTGCGCAAGCCGCCCCGCACCTGGCTGATCGCATCGAGCGTGAGCGCACTGGTGGCTACGTTTGCAGTCCTGGTGCTGCTGCTGCGCCAGTGGCACCCGCCAGCCGGCAGACAAGCGCCCTTCGACCCAACGCGCCACTCTACTGAGGTCAGAATCCCCCATTCTTCTCACAGGGGGTGGCTATGAGACTTAGGGGGTAAACGTCAGTGGATGCAGAGATCACAAAACGCCTTTGGAAGAAGCTCGGAAGTAGCTCGCTCATCTGAGCACCTGTCAATGAGAGGAGGGCCAGGCATGCTGTAGCTAAGCCGGTCACTGCTGCGGGCTTACTGAGGCCAGAGGCCGACACTTTGTGGCACCTCACAGGGCTTGCAAGATGTCTTTGGCAGCAGCAGTAACGAAGCAGTAAGCGGCAGTGCGGCCCAAGGAAGTGACCGGTCCGCGAATGAGGCAGTAGCTCGGCCCCACTGGAAAGAAGCTTCCAGCACACGCTTCAAAAGAAGATCTTTCCTGCCATGCTCTTATAACAAACGGTATCCTTCCTTGCCCCCGCAGGTGGGCATGGTCGCCTTCGGCTGCGCATTCATCCTGTTCACGTGTTCCCTCATCTGCCGCACCGACAAGGAGAAGAGAACCGCGGTAAGCAGCCTTCTCTCATTAGATCGCCACTCAGCAGACTCCGGGCTTTGCCGCCAGCAAGGGCAGATCAAGATCTGAGTGAGCGTAAGCTGCTGCTGTGCTGACTCGTCGCGGCTGTCGTGCGCAGGCGTTCCTGGTGTGTTACATTAACGCAATCGCATTCAGCACCAACATGCTGCTGTATTACTCCGCCACGCCCGTTGTCCTCGACTTCTTTGGCCGGCCCTGCTTCCCGGTGCGCTACGTGCAGTGGCTGCACACGACGCCCACCATGATCTTCATGGCCGCCAAGATCTCCTCCTTCACCAGCCCCCAGGTCAGCTGCGCGCCGGCCCGCAGATCACGCTCGCCCACATGGTCGCTGACACGATTGCCCCGTCAGGGGAACAGGGTGCCACTCGTCCCGGGCGCTCCTCACTCTTCGCCCTTCTGCAAGATTCACGTGGCGCTTCTTGTCGCCGTTCCTGGTCTGCCCTTACTCACTCTTACGGGCAGGCTTCTGTCGGGCGAGCACGGTGTGGATGATCCCCCTCCTGCTGCCGGGGTGACCATCCCCCGTTCGGATGCCCGGGCATGTCAGGGATCGGCTGGGACGAGCTTACGACAACCTTCCACCCGTTGCTTCTCGTCGTCTCACCCTCAGTGCCCCTCACCATGACGTCACCCCCACCCGGATCCTGACACCCCCGGTACCGCTTCCTCTGCCGTCTTGTGCCGTCACTAAACCCCAGTTCCCCATTGCCCGGCAGGTGGTCGTGGCTGTCTTGTACGACATGCTGATGCTGGCCACCGGCCTGACCGCGTCGCTGGCGCCGTCGTGGCCCGTCATGGCCGCCGCCATCTCGTGCTCCTGCGCCGCGTTCCTCGCGGTGCTCGTCCTCGTGTGGAACATGTTCCGCAGCGCGCTGCGCGAGGTGCGCCAGCAACGCCCCAGCCAGACACAAATGCAAATGCTCTTGGCGCTTTTCGGGGACGTTCCAGTTAGTAGGAAGTCTCAGTGGCGAGCTTTTCCCGCGCATACTTTGTTGACAAGCACGGCACGCCTTGTTTGGCGCACGAATTGCTCCTTGCTGGTTCGGACGGCCGTACTTTTCAGGTTACTGGGATCGATGGCCGAACCCAGGGAGGAGGGCTGACGGCTGTTGCTGAGGGTAGTGTTTGCTGGCGGCTTGAGCCCGCACACGTTTTGCAGAGATTTTAGATGCCAAGTCGAACCTTTCAAGGCCATATCTAGCCAAAATTGACTCCACTCTTGTTCGCGTCCAATCAGCGCTGATACGGAACGGCCTCTCGGCGCCGCTCCGTCGTTCGTTTGCGTACGGCCACTGATTCGGTGTCCCTTCGCTCCTCCGCAGGCGCGCGACCTGGCGAGCTACCGCAACCTGCAGTTCCTGCAGGCGCACATGGTGTTCACGTGGAACATCTTCCCGCTCGTGTGGGCCCTCTCCGCGCTCCACGTCATCACGCCCGAGACCGAGGCGTACCTCTACCTCGCAGGCGACCTCTCCGCCAAGGTCAGCGTCTGGAGCCGGCACTGCTTGCTGCGGTGCAGCTTACCAGGAACCCAGTAAAAGGCAGAGATTATGCAATCCCAGCTACAAACGGCCCAGTGCAACCCAGATAATGGTTTCCAACATATTCGCAACGATCTCTTGAGATGTTCTTCTACACAAGGACAAAATCACAGAATCCTGGAACTGTGTGAAGAGCGACTCCCTTCCATTGGAAATGCGTCCTTCTTTCAAGAGGCTTTCCGCTATCGAAAGCGGCGAAGAGCTGCGAGGCTGGCCCCGACTTCAAACACCGCCGCTTAGTGGTGTCTGAACGTATGTCCGCCGTCTTTCTGGTTTCTCCTTTGTTCGTGCGACTCCCTCGCGCCTCCGTCCGTCTTCCCTTCCGGCCCTGCTCTTCTCCACCCGGCGAGCCTGCCGCGACGCCCTTTTCCTCCCCTTCTTGTATTGCCAGGTGGTGTTCAGCGCGCTGCTGCTGGAGGGCAGTTTTTTGAGCATCGAGGAGAAGCGGCGCGCGGCGGCCGCGGTGCAGGAGGAGAACAGCAAGAACGCGCTGATCGCGGAGCTGCGGCAGGCGGTCAGCCAGAAGGACCGCTTCCTCGCCTCCGTCTCGCACGAGCTGCGCACGCCGCTCAACGGCATCATCGGCCTCTCCGACACCGTCCTGCAGGTAACGCGCGCGCGCGAGTGTGTTGTGAGATTGACCGGACAGGGTACGGAACAATTCGGCTACACGAGGGATTGTGCGCGAACACTAGCTTCGTATCGCGAGGCGCAAACAGATGACGATCGGAGGCTTTGGAACACTGAAGACAGAGGTTGGCGTGACGCACTTGATGGGTCCAGCTCCCATCGAGCGCGAAAGGCGCCGGAAGTGGTACAGTAGAGAGCGCCTGAATCAGTTACGGCGTAGGAGAGGACGCTTTTACCTGTGTCCCTCATGGTTGGAACTGTGCTGACGGCGCGGGTGGGTTGTGCAGGGGTCGTGCGGGCCGGTGACGGAGGTGCTGTTGCACACGCTGGGGACCATCAAAAAGAGCGGGCACCGACTGCAGAACCTCGTCAACGGTGAGCCACCCGCACCGGAACGGCAGCGGAAACAAGCGGATCGCCAGGGCACGGAAGCTGGTTGGCTTTTCTCATGGGTGTGGTGTATGCGGGCTCTCAAGCACGGCTCGCGGAGTGACTGTTGGGCAGCAGAGATGTGAAAGGAGGCGATTGCGGGAGCTGCGCACACATTCTCGGTCAGCGGACTGTTTGAGGGCAATCCCGGTATCTGGCTCACACGGACACCCTCGCAAGAGAACGGTCGAAATGAGTTCCGAAAATACAAAAGCGGCCAGATAGTGCGGCAAGCCTAGTGCAGCTTTGACGCAGAGTCCAGCTATCCCCAACGCTGTCAGCGCCCAGCGCCCATCGTCCCGGCTTTGAGGTGCACACGAGACGGCAGCACCGGTCGAGGACTTGCATCTCCAGACCTTTGACCGTCTGGAGCAATTCGAGAAGCCTTTTCATGGCAGCACGTTCCAGCCGGTTGATCAGAGAGGAAGGAGACCGTAAGCCTGACGTTCGCTCCGCTTTGCTGGCGCGCAGACATTCTGGACGTGAGCAGCGCGCGCAGCGGCCCGCTGGTGCTGCGGTACGACCGCGTGAAGCTGCGGCCGTGCGTGGACCACGTGCTGGACCTCACCACGCCGTCGCTCAAGTGGTCCGTCAAGGTGCGCGCCGGAACGGAAACCAGGAGAACGGAACTTGCGAATCACCTGCCTTGCACGCCACTGTGTCCCTTAATAGTCCTGCCCTTTACCCCCCGCCCTAGTAGAGGTGGTTGGTGTTTGAAAAAGGATACCGAGGGTTTGATTGGGGCGCCTTGAGTCCCAAAACCAGCTGCAAAATCAGCTGCAAGGCTTGAAAGTATAGATAACAAAGTTATGGCTTCCACGCCTCACGGCGGTGCTGTGTAAGCGTGAAGCTTCCTACCTATAGTTGCACTTTGGCATCTGGTCGTGACGGGGTCTTCTCAGTACACACACAGGAATGTCTCTTGACTCGACCTTCGAAGCGGCTGTTCAAAACCGTTCTATGAAGACTCTTAGTCGTCAACTGTGCCCACGTGTACTTTCCGCCCAGTGCTGTTCCCAGCCGCCCGCTCTCGCCTGCTTGCAGCTGCACAACGACGTGCCGGCGGGTTTGCCGGAGCTGCAGTGCGACCCGGCGCGGCTGATCCAGGTGCTGCACAACATAGTGGGCAACGCAGCCAAGTTCACCGACGAAGGTCAGCGCACTCCCACGCACGCCCCGCTCTGAAACCTGAAGGCACGGACCCAAAACAAGTGTTCAAAACTCCTCAACCTGATTGAGGGGTTTGATTTTTCCGAGGCTAAGCGGACTTCTTTTGTCCGTGTCAACCCCGACACCTGAGCATCGTCACCTGCGCTGTTGAGTGCACTTCCGGCCATACGACTCAGACCTAATCAGTGTCGTTTATGATGAGTCGTCGAGCCAAAAGCTCACGTTCAGAAGCAGATAAGTACTTGAGCGGAGAGCCATTCTTGTTTCAATTCCGGGGTCGTCGTGATGGATATGAGAGAAGCGCGCCGCTGCACATTCTTGCACAGTAATCTTTCCTTGAGCGCCCATGCCTGCAGCAATCTTCATCGTGATGCACTGCAGGGAACCTTGCCGCTTCGGCACCGGGTTGCGAATGCTTGGATTCCTTTGCGGAAAACGACCTAACTTACTTCCCAAGCTGTAGTACGAAGAGATCGTGATGTTTTCCGGCTCTGCAATCTTTAAACCGCTGAGTCTGATCGTGCGCGCGCTGTCGGCGGTGCAGGCGAGATCCGCGTGAGCGCGCGGCTGCGCAAGAACCAGACCGGGCAGGACGTCGTGGCCGTCACCGTCAAAGACACCGGTGAGCGCGCGTGCAGAGTCCTCGGATAACCAACTCGGGCGGAGCCACGTCGCGTGGCTGCATGTGTTGATGGGTGTGAGTTCAGATGCACACCCAAAATGCCGAATGACGCTGTAGCTCCTGGCGGCGAGGAAGCGAGGGGTCAGTCACAGGAAGAGATCTTCAAAGAGCAGTCTTTTCTTGAGCGGCCTCGGTGAAGTCGCCGCGCGTGATTCCGTGCTCAACACTGGCTCATGATCCTGCGGAAAGCAAAGAGTTCCTGCCCGGTGCGACCACGAGGTTGCGACGGAGTCAGCACATTCAGAAAGCGGCCATCGTGTGCCGTACCTGATATACGTCTGCCGTTGTTGAACCCTCTCTGCGCCCTCGTTCCACTTTGGGTCATCAATGATTCTTCTGTGCCCGCACCTCTTATGCTTGCAGACATCGGCATCTCTCCTAAGCGAGTTGCGGCCGCTTATCAGGTTCTATCCCCCCTCTCTCCTGGCAGGCAACGTTTCTTTTGGGCAAACTTGCTCGAACTCTCTGAGGTACATAATGCCGCATCTCTCCCTTCGCCTTGTCGGCAGGCATCGGCATCCCCGCGGAGCGCATCGCCGATATCTTCAGCGCGTTCGAGCAGGGCAGCGACGCGATCGTGCAGCAGCACGGCGGCACGGGCCTCGGGCTGTCCCTCGCGGAGACGCTCGTGCGCGCGCACCACGGCTCCATCTCCGTGACGTCACGCCTCGGCGAGGGGTCCGCCTTCACTTTCGTGCTGCCGCTCGTGCAGGTAACGCCGCTCGCGCCCCTCGCTAACCGTACAGTTAGCAAGTAAACTGACGGAGGTTCCCTTGCCCGTGAACCAGGCGGCAAGCAGTTTGCTCCTGGTTTCATGGTTCAATCTTTTCAGATTGGCTTTTGAAGCGCCCGGAGATTACGTACGTTGAAATCCTGCGGGAAGATTGCTTGATCACCCTCCAGGCTTGGCAAGCCTTCGAGTTTTCCTTCGTTTACTTCTCTGATTCCTCTCATTTCGCTCGAAGCCTCTTTCACACCCGTTTCCGCTTTTATTTTCCGCAGCCCAAGCGCGAAAAGGAAGAGAGCGCCCCCGAGGAGCCTGAGCCCTCGCGCTCGCGCCCGCCGAGCGCGCCCTCCCCGCAGCGCGAGGCGGATCGGCGCGAGCGCGCGAGCAGCAGCGCGGACTCGGCGGCGTCGGACGGCGAGGCGGCGCCCAAGTTCGCGCGCAGCTCGCTCACCAAGTTCCAGCGCGAGTCCGCGTCGGGCTACACGCTCAAGCAACAGGTGCGCGCGGGGCGGCCGCGGCGCGCGAAACGAGATAGCCTCGATGACGTCTAGATTGCATCGAGAGCGAGACTTTCGCACCATACGCACCATTCGGCGAGATGTAGACTTGTTCTTTGGGAGTCTGAGATCTGGAAAAGTGCTGCCTTGGTTCAAAAGCCATTTCTCTCATGCGGTCTCCGCTGCTTAGTTAGGTAGAACCGTCGAACGCATTCGAAAGCCGCAAAGCTCCGTGTATTTACAGAAGTCGGCGGACTCCTCGGAGCCATTGCGACCTCGCAAATTCATGCATTCGCTTCCTCCCGCGTGTCTCGCAGATCACGGGGCACTGCGCGAGCGAGGGGTTCGAGGACGGCGCGGGGCGGCTGCACCGGTCGTTCTTCGACGTGAACGGGCAGTACGAGATCCTGTCGGTGGACGACGACCCGGTCAACCAAATGGTCGTCGAGGGCATGCTGCGGCCCGCGGCGTACAAGGTGACGGCACGAAAAGAGGTCGCAACTGCTGCTGGGAGCGTGGTGGAGCTTTGAAGACATACTTTGAAGAATTATTTTGAAGAGATTGTTTGAAGAGATACGTTGAAGAGATGGTTTGAAGAGATACGTGGAAGAGATCCGCTGAACAGATACTCAGAAGAATACTTTTTGAAGCGACACGTAATTCGTTGAGAGTACAGTTGAAGGAACATGTTGAAGAGAGATTTACAGGATTCGTCGTAAATTTGCAACCAGTTGCGGAGTTTTCTGCGACCTTGCCCGGTTTCGAGAACAAACTCCGTGGCAGACCTTTGCAGTCTAACAATGGTTATTTTGGAGAGCCGTTTCGATTCTCATCCCTGGCGCTAGTGCACCGCACCGAGGGAACTCCTGCGCCGCGCTTCCGGGTCCCGTTCCACTGACGTCATTGTGCCTTTCTGCTGACGTCACGTGCGCTCCTGCTGGCGCAGATCACGAAGAAGATGGACGGCATGGAGGCGCTGGCGTACCTGGAGCGCAGCGACACGACGCCGGACCTCATCCTGCTGGACGTCATGATGCCGGGCCTCTCCGGATACGAGGTGCGCGCCTTTATCGTTAACATCATGGAAAGGGAAGCCTAATCTCGGGAACGTTGACCTAAAACCTAAAATTCTGACCCATAAGCTTGCCTTTGCCCTAACCTTTTCCCTCTGCCCCGTTTCGATGCCGGGCATCTCGGGATACGAGGTGCGCGCCGCAGCATTCCAGAAACCTGAACTGCGAGAACCCTAAACCTTTAGATTGCTCAATATTTTCACTTTGTGAACCCGACACCCTCAAGCCCGGGACCTTTAGTGAATTCTCGGGGAGAACTCCCAGCTTTTAGTCGTCAGGGATGTGGCAACGGTAACTGGAATCGGAACGTGATAAAGGATGTCGGTCTGCGGCCACTTTTGTATAAGCCTTTCATTCTTTCGTTTGTCCGACAAATGTCACATAGACCTGGTTGAGGAAAGGTAGGCACTATGGGAAGTTAAGTGCTTCAGTGCAACACACTCGTCCGAAATCTGAACCAGCTTTACGTCTTGTTCCCGCGTTCCCAGTGCTTGGCTTCGTTTGCCGCGTGGCCGTCGCTGATGTTGCCACGTGCCGTGCTGCAGGTGTGCCGCAAGGTGCGGCAGATGTTCCCCGCGAGCGCGCTCCCGGTGATCATGGTGAGCGCCAAGAGCCAGGAAGGGGACATCGTGGAGGGGCTCAAGGCGGGGGCCAACGACTACCTCACCAAGGCAAGCGCGCAAATACCAACTGGACTCGAGTATCCCGCGCGTTTTGCCATGCACACGTTTGAAACCTTCCGGAGTGATTTGCGAGAGGCAGGGGCAAGAGAACCGCATTGCGGCAGAACGAGCCAAAGAACGCGGTATCTCTGTTTTATCCAGCGTCCCGTCGCGACAGGAACTCCAGTCTGACTTGCGGGCGTGCCTTTGCTGCTTCGTGGAGAAAGGGAGTCATAAGTTTGGGTCGCTGATTCTTCACGACCATGGTGTTCTAGCGACGTACAGCAGCTTTGAGTACTGAATGGAGCGTCCGAAAAGCCCGAACCCTCGCAGGGAAAGCGCCTCAAGCTCAGTGTTCTTTTACTTGATTCCTGGTTTGGTCACCATTATTGAACAGTCTGACATTCTGCTTCGAGCCTTGTCCCACCTCTACTTACTGTGCGTGCCGGTTTCGTTGCACAGCCGTTCAAGCGGCTGGAGATCTTGGCGCGCATCGAGACGCAGCTGAAGATCAAGAAGCTGTGGAAGGTGGAGATGGAGGCCGCCAAGAGCTACCAGCTGCTCAAGAAGATGCTGCCCGAGTCCATCATCCACCGCCTCAACTCGGGCCAGTCCCTCATCGCGGACTCCCACCCCGAGGTGCGCGCGTGGAGCAGACAAACCTCTGTTCGCTGGAGCTTGCTATCTGTCAGCTTCAACTTCGAATTGGAAACGAAAGTTTCTGAGACGGTATTGAGCCGGTCTTCCAATATCGGCCGCAGACTCACACCGACTTCCTCGCACGGGGCGCAGAGCGTTTTTCATCGACTCCTCTTCTTGATTCGCCTCTTTTAATTCGCGTTTCTAAGGTTTCAGATGGTAACTATCATTGACGCGATTGAGTCGGAAATTTCGAGTCCTCGCTAGCCCGTGTCGCGCACCCCAGCCGGCTAATCACAAAAGCTCAGAAGCTTTGCTGTGGCACAAGTCGCGCCTTTTAGGTTTAGAGAGGAGCGGCTTCCGCCCTGTGAACAGTGATACCTTCTCTTATTTTCTAAGAATAAAACATGGCCCCCGTTCAATTGGGGCCGGAGATGATCACTGTTCACAACTCCGCAAATGCTCTTTCCACCGCATTTCTCCTTCTGAAAGATCAAATGTTAAGCGCTCCTGATTTGAACTTCACACCGTCACTCGCCCCTTCAGGGCGTGGCCAAGCTTTCTCGCCTTCTCTACGCTAATTACTTCAGTAAACGTTACAGGTATCCGTCCGTTCGGCGCCCTTGAGTTCACAATCTTTGAAATGGTTCTGAATGACGAACCCCTGATCGTCGTCCCGGCCCGTGTGCTGCGCGCAGGTGACGATCCTGTTCAGCGACATCGTGGGCTTCACCGAGATCGCGGGCTGCTCGCGCACGGCTGACCTCATCTTCATGCTCAACGACATGTTCACCGGCTTCGACGAGCTCGTCGACAAGCACGGCGTCTACAAGGTACACCCGCCACCACGGCGTCTTCCGCGCCCTTTCATCTTCTTGCGTTCTTGTTTCCGCCTTGCTCTCCTTACCTTTTTCCCCAGGCTCGTTGTGCAGAGTACTAAGGTTGCTCCTGCCAATCTGATCGCCGCTAGTGGCGAAATCAGGGCCCAGCACACGAGCACAAGGAGGCGTTGGTCCGCTTTGGGGACGCGTATAGAGTGGTGGCTGGCCATGACCACGCATTCAGCCCCAGATCCTCAAACTGGACTGACAGATTCCGACACCTCCTGAGACCCCTATGTGAAAGCTCGAATCCTAAACTCTGACCCCGTAAACATCGTCACGCGTACATGGCTTTTGGCGGGCCACAATAGCGCTTCAAGCCCAGGATGCTCACGTAACCCCAATCCCTAATCCCGAAGTTCTAAACCCTCAACCCTTGCCAGGTGGAGACGATCGGCGACGCGTACATGGTGGTGGCGGGCCACGACGGCGCGGCGGACCACGCGGGCCGCGTTCTGCGTATGGCGATGGACATGCTCGCGCTCGTGCACGCCATCAAGCAGCCCAACCAGCGCGAGTCGGTGCGCATCCGAATCGGGGTGCACTCCGGGCCAGCATACGCAGGTGCGCCGCCGCGGTCTCGGCTCCTCGGTTTTTGTTACCTCGGAGCTTTTGGATTCTTTGAGCCCGGGGGTTTCTTGATGTAGGGGTTGCCGGTCTTCTCGAGTATTTAGGGTTGCCTCTGATTTTGTGGACTTTGCCGCGGTACAATCCTTTCTCCTCATACGTCGAATCTATCCAAGCACTCCCTTCTTGTTGACGTAGCTTCCCGCCGTGCCGCGCAGGCGTGGTCGACGTCAAGTGTTGCGGCACACTTTCTTCCCATGCGCCACTTCAGCAATTTCACTTGTTAGAGCATTGCTAACCCGGTTTTGGCCGCGCCGCGCAGGCGTGATCGGCGTCAAGTGTCCGCGGTACTGCTTCTTCGGCGACACGGTGAACACGGCGAGCCGCATGGAGAGCAACGGCTACGCGCAGGCCGTGCACTGCAGCCCCGCCACGCACGACCTCACCAAGCACCTCTTCGACTTCGCAACCGTGAGCCGCAGCATGATGCTTGTAACTTCAAATCCTTGGACCCCCGAAAAGAAAAACCAGCGATCGTACGACGTTTGCGTATGCGCCCGAGGTACCTGACTTCTGCGCCGTGCGCCCGCCGTTTCACAACTCTTTGATCGAGCGGCGATTTTATAGATCTACGGTGGGCCTTGTCGGCGTAAGAAACGTTAGTAAGCACTTCTTCCGGCCATTTCCCCGGTCGTAAAGTCTATTCAGAGGCTGAAGGCAGCCTCCACAATTTTGAGCATAAATCGGCGCAGAACTTGTGCGACAACGCTTCATTTAACACTTTTGGCTTTTTGGCTTTCTAGCGCCCTTAGTTTTTGCTGTCATGTTTGCAGGTGCCCCGGCGGCACATCAAGGGCAAGGGCCCCATGGAGACGTACTTGCTGAAGCACGGCGAGTGGGAGCTCGCACACCGCGCGCTGCTTGCCGACGCCGCGGCCGCGCCGCCGCTGGAGCGCGCGGGGTCGGTCGCCCGATTCTCACCGACCTCCCCGAAGGACGGCCCCCGACCGCCGCTCGCCTCAGCACGACCGGTCGGCCCGCCGCTCGCCGGGGCCGA